GGGACAAAGAAGGATCTTGTAGTTTAGGACTGCTGGGAAAAACATTGTTGTGAAAGATTTTAAGTTTTGAGATAGTTATGATAATTTCTCATTAGAAGTCAAATCTGCAAAGAAACTGTATAGGAAGCACAGGTAATAATAAATAGTTATTCTCCCACGGGTTGGGCTGTAGGTTGCCCATGCTGAACTCTCAAAAGCAGCCCGCTCTCTGGATGCCAAATCTGGTGGGAAGCCCAGCTGCACACAGCCATTCACCTCTCTCCGCCTATAAGGGTTTTTGTCTCCTTTCTCCATCGAGAGAAGCACAGCCAGATTTCTGTTACTTCTCTTGTGTTAGAAATATAACCCCCATTTGAACAAATCTTTAAAAAAAAGCCATGGCAGGTTCATTTTAGGATCACCATAAATGAGCTATAACATGAAGGAACACAACAAAAGACCACACACACACGAACATAGTTGTAGACTATCAAATTATGTAGCACAATTTGTTTGCTGCCTTGTTATGGCATATCACTTCTATTTTAGAGAGATGTGAATGCATACAATTATGGAAACCACAGGACATTTTTGTCCTGTGCTATATGGAGAAGAGGACTATATAAATATGCCATTTCATTTAGAACTATCTTAAGAAATGGGGCTACAAAGTGGTATCCACAACATGCGAGTGTGGAGAAGAGCAAACTACAGACCACCTGCTGCAATGCAACCTGAGCCCTGCTACATGCACAATGGAGGACCTCCTTGCAGCAACACCAGAGGCACTCCAAGTGGCCAGATACTGGTCAAAGGACATTTAATCAACTACCACACTTGCAAATTCTGTGTTCTGTCTGTTTTGTTTTTGTTAAAAATGTCTGGTTGCTGATGACACGATAAATAAATATTTAGAACTACAGATTATTATTATTTCGTATCAAAAGCATTGCATAAATTAGTATAAAACTGATAAAAATAGGTGTGCAGGTGGCTAAATATCTTTTGACCAAAAACGGGCAACAGCAATGGCATTGTCTGTAGCCTCCAACAATTTCTCCTCTGAACATGAGGCAGAGCACAATGGACAAGCATACAAGTGCAGAGTTGTCTGTTCTGCTCCACAATCACACATGGTATGGGATTCTTTTAGGTAGTGCCATTTTGCCAGGTTGTCTTTTGATCTGCCCACTCCACTTCTGAGTTTATTCAGGGACTTCCAGGTTGCCCATTCTTGATTTGTCCCTGGAGGAAGACCCTCACGGGGGGGGGGGGGGGGCATTCAGTTGGGATTTCCTGATTTAGCTGCCCAGAGGGATACCCTTGCTGTTGCTGGAAGGACGCCAAGAGGAGTGGTAGTCTCATAAAGCTTTTCCTTGATTTGAGTCTACTGGGAGGAGGCTGGTAACCATGTAGTGGATGGCTTTCACAGTGTTCAACCTTATTTCTCTCACATTTAGCAGCAACTTCCCATCGCACATGGTGGGAGGGCAATGCCAGCTAGCTTGTAGAGTTTATCAACAGGTGTAGGTTTAAGACACCTACTCAGTGACCTTTGGCAAATCACACTCTCTCTCTTCTCTGCCTCAGAGGAAGTCAACCACAAACCCCCTCACAACAAATCTTGCCAAAAAAACCCATGATGCATCTCTTTAGGGTTACCATAAGTCAGAAATGGCTTGAAAACAAGCAAACAACAACAACAAAAACAAGGAATTTGAGTGTCAAAAACTTAGGCTTGAATTCTATTGGCTGTCCTAATTAGAATGGACCCTTTGAATTACTGATAGACAGGCGAGTCAATATTTCTGCAAAACCATTGATTAGATGGGTCTATTCTATCTGGGAGTACCAACAGGAAATAGGTCTTTAACATTTTTACATCCTTCCATAAACCTTAACACAGACAGGGCAACATAAAGACCACAGGCTACTGCACACTTTCCCATCGTTTATTTTGCAGTCCCCAAGCCTTTCTGAGCGTCCTCAAAGTTCCCACTGTGGTAATGACAAAATCAAGAGGTTTTTTTTCTAACACTGAAACAAAACCTGAGGCTTTCTTTAGAGGCCAACAGCGACTTGAAACTGCTAGCAGCTTGGAAGGATGGCACATATGGCTCATTTCTAGGAAAACAGAAGTACGGAAGATTTCCAGGAGCACTATTATGTAATCCAAAAAAAGACATAAAACCTGCAGAGAGCTTATTCCATTGTTACAATGTCAGAAGACCAAAAAAGGGTTAACTTTTGCTGCCATAGCAATTTTACCAAGAGTGGGCAGATGTGACCTCCTGTTGATACTGGGTGAGGGATTGTGTCTCTGGTCCTAGAAACTGCCCATTCCTGATTTAAGCGGGACCATGATCTCAACCATTTAATTGCAAGTATTCTTTCCTGGGGCTCTTCAGCAGATGCACAAGCAGTCCACATTTCAGCTCCAAAGTAGGTGACAGATGCAGACAGCAGCTTAAGGCAACTGTTAGTATGACTGCAAGTGTCATTATACCACTCTATATTCAGCTCTTATTTTGTCTAATACAACTGTGGTACTATAATAACTTCATAATGTGCTGAATCCTGATATTACCTTTCACATTGGACACTGTGTTGCTTACTGCCTTATCACTATAATCTCCTTGTAATAATACAAACCTGTATGTTGTTAATCAGTCTATATTAACAGCAAATCATTAGGCTGGATTGCTTGTAGGACAAACAGAAAACTTGCCCACCAGATTAGGTAGAAGGTCATCTGCCATAAAAGAATGGAATCCCTGACAAGTTTTCTGTGTTAATTATATAGAAGCTGCTTATAATAATGTACATTCTCTACTGTTCGCCTTTCCACATCTTTTCCTATTTTAAGACATCATATCTGTCTTAAAATAGGAAAAATACCATTCAAATTTGGTACAGTGTGCCGTTGGTACCTGCTGAGGTTTGGTTCCAAAATTCTCTTCCACTACATTCATTATTATGTGGCTCCCATAAGATAATAAACATGTTTGGAATGGCTCAGGGCCTTTTACTTTATATAATAGGAAGAGGAAGCATTTGCTTGCTGTGGGCTGCTTCTGACCTCAGCTCTTCGCAGACTGAGGCCTTGACTGCTTGCAAGGTCTGGACTCCCAGCAGAAACACCTGACTGCCTCCAGAGGCGGGGAACAAAAGGAGGATGCCTGCAGGGGCGAGGTTGCCCCCAAAGAAGATTGGCTCCTTTGGGGTACTCATTTCAGAAGTGGCACAAGGGCAAGGGTCTGACAATTTGCTTCACTGACCTCAAGTCTATTACCTCATTTGTATGGGGGTTATTTTGTTCATTTTTTACAATGGCAAAACCACACTTTAATTTTACAAGGAAAATAATATTTGTTTAAATGGATAAGGCCAAAAATAAAAAACTTGTTTAATTTTCAGTATTTTTGAGTAGTCTAGATTAAAATAGGCTTTTCACATATGTATGCTAATATTTTACCTCTTAAGACTCAGATGTGCTGTTCACGGAGATGAAGTTAAAATATTCAGTTATATGGAATCTCTTGCATTTAAAGTTTTTAACATATGCCTATCTGTTTTTATATAAGGTTTTTCTTTATCATCTGTTAGCTTGCTCCATGTAGGAAGGGTGAGTTTTCTACAGAAGGGCGGGAGCCCCCAGATTTGTTGGGCAGCCATTGGAGTCATACAGGGCAGGGGGAGAGGTGGAAGATGGAGACAATCTCAGTACCAACAAAATGGAACCAAAATAGAGTGCTTATTGCCCCCAAACTGTCTCCTATATCAATAGCCTAGAGAACTGGGGTGACAGTTCCCCTAGGTTGAAAATGCTGTTGAATGCCAGGTCTGTAAATGGAAAAACAACTGCCATCCAGGACTTGATTCTGGATGAGAATGCTGACCTGGTTTGTACCAGAGACTTGGCTGGATGAAACGGGGTTTGATCTCTCTCATCTCTGCCCGCCAGGTTTTTCTGTATAGCAAGGCCTGGGGACAGGAAGGTGGAGTTGCAGTGGTCTGTCATGATTCCATCCCCCTGACCAAGTTCAGCATCCACCAGTCAACAACATTTGAGTGTATTTACCTAAAGGTGAGTAGCCGGGAAAGAATAGGGATTCTGTTAATGTACCGCCCATCCCACTGCTCAACAGTCTCCCCTTCCTGAGCTAGCTCGGATGGTCTCGGGACTGGCGTTGGGAGTCTCGTAAACTATAGCTGGTTCAAAGAGCTGCGGCCAGGTTGCTAACTGGGGCTGACCAGAAGGAGTAGACAATCCCCTGTTGCAGAAGTTCCACTGGCTGCCAGTTTGTTTCTGGGCAAAATTCAAAGTGCTGCTTTAAAGCTCTAGATGGCTCAGGTCCAGGCTATTTGGATGACCACAGCTCTTTGTACAAACTTGCCCACGCCCTGAGATCTTCAGTAGAGGCCCTTCTCTTGGTCCCACCTTCATCTCAAGCTCAGTTGGTGGAAACGAGAAAGAGGGCCTCGACTCTTGAACTCCCTCTGCCCAGGGAAGCCAAAATGACCCTTTCCCTGCTGTCCTTCCAGCAGCAGGCTAAAACTTTTTTTATTCAGGCAGGCTTTTAAAGAAAAAAGTTTTAAAGATCAAGTCATTAGTGTGGTTTTTAATTTTGAATGTTTTATGGATTTTAACTGAATGTTTTAATACCAATCATATTTAATTCTGTTTTAATGTTTGCATATTTGTAGAATTTAAATTGTACTGAAATACTTTCAACGTAGGCAGCCGTGAGTCTCCTTGTGGAGATAATAATAATAGTATATTTGAATATCTGAAGAATCTCTCTGGCATATTTGTAGAAGCTCTTTTGTATTGATGGATAGCAGTGTTTCATTCCAGTGAATCTGGCAATCCCATGCCTATTATCTACTATTTCTGAATTCACTGAAACTCTGAGTATACAATGAAGATGTAAAGGTTTGCTCATTCTGTTTTCATAAGCAAGCATGAAAATTAATCTATATAGCAATATAGATGACTTTAGAAATTAAAGGTTACTTACCTTTATATCAAAATTGCAATCAAGTCTTCTGATTAGTACAATGAATTCATGGGAAGAGTTGTCCTTCAGAGGTGGAGGAGTTATGGGCTCACACGCATTCTCAGGTTTGGAGTTTATTAGAAAACCCTGAAAAATATTTTTAAAAGCACATAATCAGTATTTATGCAGAAGGTGACAGAATTAATGCATCTCTCATTTTGAATACACATGATGAGAATCCAGTAACTTGTATATTAATTAAATTGGGATTGAAAAGCCGTCCCTAAAGTCTCCACACATAGAAACAATTACGTAAGGTATTTAGCTACCATTTCCCATTTTCCCCAATGTATATGTAATTGTGATATAACACTACTTCCAACTGCCAATGGCAGGTGATTGATTCAATCTGTATCTCAACTGCCAGTGCTATACTCTGGATGTTGAATGGTATCAATAAGAAATCAGAAGATAGTGAAGTTGTAAGGAGGAGATTTATTCTCCTTGTAAACAGCTGCAGTCAGCAGTGTGGCCACAGAAACTGGTACTCAAAGAACTATCTTTGCAAACATAATACCAGATAAGAGTATATTATTGAAAACCACATGGGATTTAACCACAGCAGGTGTTAAATCCAAGGCTTGAAGGATTCTAAATATCCCAGTATCTTCTGCAAGAACAGAACATTAGATATTGATTGGTACACTTGTCCAATACTGCAAAAAAAGTCATGGAGATTTTAAAAAGAAAGCCCCCTCTTTAACTTTTTTAAAGGTAGGGAATATTATGGTATAGTCGTATTTACCGCTTCTCTTATCCCTTCAAACCACTTCCATTATTATTACTACTTATATGCCACATTTTCTCTCTTAAAATGGACACTTCTATTAATGAGGAAGGACAAGAATCCAAAATGCACATGGCAGCTCCCACCTTTCCAGAGATTCCAACCATGTACACAGGGACCACAAATATATTCAGTAACATGGATACAAAGTTAAGTCTACTGAGCCTTCATCAATAACATAAACTGGGGGGGGGGGGGGGTATTCCCAGACTATTTAAAAATGAATTGTTTATTGATGCTTCCCTATTTTTTAAAAGAAAATATCCTCCTACAAATAAAAGACTACTCTGCTGGAGACAGCTCTATTGGCATGCCATCTGTTCTTTCTAACTGATTTCTTCCAAGTGCTTTGGGTGCAGCTGTCACTTCTTTTTCTAAAACTGAGGGTTTATCTTCAAATGGTTCTTCCATTTGTTGTTGAAGGCTTTCATGGCCATAATCACTGGCTTGTTGTGAGTTTTCCAGGCTGTATGGCCATGTTCCAGGAACATTCTCTCCTGACGTTTCGTCCACATCTATAGCAGGCATCCTCAGAGATTGTGAGGTCTGTTGGAAACTAGGCAAGTGAGGTTTATATGTCTATGGAGTTTTCAACAAGTGTTCTTTCTCCCACCATGAACATTCCAGAGATATATAAACCTCACTTGCCTAGTTTCCATCAGACCTCACAATCTCTGAGGATGCCTGCCACAGATGTGGGTGAAACATCAGGAGAGAATTATTCTGGAACATGGTGATACAGCCCAGAAAACTCACAGCAACCCAGTTCTTCCATTAATGAATCTACATTTTTTCATCTTTTTAATTCTTGTTGTTCCAGGATATTGTTTTGTTGCTGTTGTTGTATACAGTAGCATATGAAAATTATATTCTCCCACCTGTATCTGCACAACACACCTACCCCATCAGTTCATGCCATGATATTTTTTATTATTTATTCATTTATTTACTGTATTTGTATACTGCCTCTCTCAGCCTGTTGGTGACTCAAGGCAGTTTACAAAAATCAGTACACATCAGTATCATAATACAAATTGAAACATTAAAAACAATATAAAACCACAACAGAAAACCACTTGGTGCCATAGCATATTTATATTCCAGTTGCTACAAACATTGGGTGCTCCCAAAAAATCTAATTCTGAGCAGCTAGATAATATATATCTGCCTGTTCACACAGCACTGGAAAAAAGCAAACAAACTTATTTAGAGAATTGCAAAATGCATTTGGAACAAATCTGACAGTAGCTGAATTTATAAAAGATGAAAAGCTAAATTTATTAGCTTCTGGCAGTGAAGGATACTTCAAAGCTTTTGAAATACAGTCTCAAGTAGTCCTCTGCTAGACATGGGAGAAGTCATTTCCTTAAAACACTGAAGTTTCAAATGTATCTCTTCAGTAAATCAGTAAATCTTCCATACAGTACATAGGCAAGGCTGTCACATAAAATCTGTCATTTTAAACTTGAGAATGTGTGGAATGCCTTTCTATTTTAACTTCAGTACCATATACATTGTTGGTACCTGGTTTAACATTATTTGCACAAACTGCACAAAATATTTCATTTTATGCTAAACTGCTGTAATAACTGGATAAACTACTGTTAAATCTTCATTTATAGCTGATGGGCTGATTGTTCCCTGAGTCTTACTTCGCAATCTCTATTTCTTCGTAGTTATAACACATGTATGGCACAACTAGAACTTGTAGAATTTTACTTTTTTGGACTACAATTCCCAAAATTTCCAAGACAACAAAACCAGTTCTTGTGGAGGTTTCTTAAAAGTTATTGCCCAATAAAAAGATATTTTACAAGCCCTGACACTAGTATATACTATTCCCTCTGAATCTGATTCAGATGAGTGTGATCAGCATTCCATAAACATAATATGTTGATAAACATTCTCCAAATGGCAACGCCTATACTTAGAATGATAATAGAGTAACTTATTCAATATTCTGCTATTTCTGGAATCTACAGAATCTCGGCCTCACTAAATAAAGAAGTGGGAGTACACAGAAATTGATTTAGGTATGTTTCAATCCCTGCAGCTTTAGAGGAATTCTAATAGTGCCCTCTGGTGGAAAACACTTTGGTGCTCCATACAAGGTTGAAAAGAGGAAGGGCTCCGTCTCAATACAATACTGATTTTTTCCTTATTTAGAAAGGCAAAGAAACCAGTAGCAGGAACATTTTAAACATGGTTAGAACAGGATTTTAAGGCATTCCTCCAAAAATAGCCTCATTCCCAGTTTTATGTAGAACCACTGTTATGTTCATCCACTGTGAAGCGAACACCAATATGCAACAGCACCCATTACTTGAATATTTTACTAGCTAAGATATACAGAATGGTATGTCAGGGACTGTAGCCAATTCTATACTAATTCGTCTGTATGTTATTCACTTGATGATGAACTTAATTTCAATATGATATATAACTTGGATCACAGAAACCCAACTTCTTTCTATTTGGGTATGTCTACTTTAAGAAAGTTTTTACCACCAAGATTAAAAACGCCCCCGGTGGTTCAGTGGGTTAAAGCACTGAGCTGCTGAGCTTGTTGATCGAAAGGTCGCAGGTTCGATTCCGGGGAGCGGTGTGAGCTTCCGCTGTCAGCCCTAGCTTCTGCCAACCTAGCAGTTCGAAAACATGCAAATGTGAGTAGATCAATAGGTACTGCTCCGGCAGGAAGGTAACGGCGCTCCATGCAGTCATGCCGGCCACATGACCTTGGAGGTATCTACGGACAACGCTAGCTCTTCGGCTTAGAAATGGAGATGAGCACCACACCCCAGAGTCAGACATGACTGGACTTAATGTCAGGGGACTACCTTTACCTTTACCTTACTTTAAGAAAGTTTTTACCACCAAGATTAAAAACATGTTAGTTCTATTAATGCAGGATTTTTTTCTTGATGTCACCAAGCAATAATGTATTGTGGCAAATATAAACATCATCATATAAGCTTCCAAAACAGGCTAGAAGAAACCATAATTGACATAAACCTCACTCTCCACCATTAATATAGCAAAACATTCATCAAATGTCAAATTATGGTGTACCTTATAATGACAACTTGTCAAAGGCCACAGAGTTATGTTTCCAGCTCTACCTCACCTGGGCTTTAATCCAGCCAAGCACTTAAGTGCATACTTTCACACATAAACACAGACTCTCTTGAAAGTTGAATTCTAAAGTCAAGTATATGTTAAAGTGCTTTACTGGAGTGATGCCTACCACTTTTATAGTCTTTTAAAAGCAGAAATCCACAAATTCCGCTTTCAGCTACCTTTACTGGCAGCATGAGTCTAGAGCACAATCTTAAATATGGCAGTTGCTGAGTCACACTCATTTTAATATTTTGCATGTTGCACACAGTAAGTCCTAGGGCTCTTCCACACAGCCGTATAACCCAGAATATCAAGGCAGATAATCCACAATATCTGCTTTGAACTGGGTTATCTGAGTCCACACTGCCACACTGATAGTTCTTACAATGACCAGTTTCCAGCTAATCTGAATATTTTCTAAAACAGATGTCCAAATTTGCTCTTTGTTCCTCATCTTTTCTCTATTTGTTATATCTGTGTCAGAGGAAATTAAGGATCCAGTGGTAGATTTTTGCGTTGGCAAGGACTGGCAAGAATTTCTTGTTTCCTGGTATTTAACAATGGCAGCAAAGTAATATCCCTTCACACAAGATGTGTGGAAATAACCAAGAGATAATTATTTTGTGGAAGTACTATGAGTTCAGTTTGACTCTCACACGCAAACAAATTCTTGAGCTCAGAATTCTGCGATTATAAATCCAAGTCTTTTGCAGGATCATTGGTGGATCTTTGTGGTCAAGTTAAAAAAGCAACACAGATCCTACCAGCCTAAAGCTTGTCCACCCCAAAGACTGCAAACTAATTTTTTAAATTATTGTTTTGTTTTATTTATTAATTTTAAAAGTGCTCTTAAAAGAGTGGTTTAAACTGAAGAATAAGGCAAACAGGTTTTACATAAAACAAAACCTATTCCTCAAAATCTGTTTAGTATTTTCTACATATAATAGAGGAGCAAAAATAATAAAATAGTGTGACTTCAACTGCTCAGACCAATACAAAAAGAGTCTTGAATTAAGAAGCATAGTCAGCAGCAGGAAACCTAAAGACATACTTGGACTTCTTCAAAGAAAGAACCCTTTACTACAAGATGGACAGAGGAATCAGAGGGAGTAGGAATTACAGAAGATGGAGACAGCAGCAATCTGTGAGTTGTGTTCACAAAGCTTGTCCAAAGCAGACAAGACTTGCTAATAGAAAAGAGCCTTAATCCTGGATGAGTGGTTTTTACTTGCTTCTGGAGCAAAAACATTACAGTGGACACATTATGGCACAAAAGACAATATGAATGGCCTTCCAGATGGGTCTTTTTGCCCCACAGGAAATACATTTTTAAAACAACCAGATGAAGCCATGGTAGGCCATGGAACAAAACCACTAACAAGATGAAAATGATAAGACAGTTCAACTCCAGACAAAAGACAAAGCCAAATTGAAATCCAAAGGAAGAAATCCAAAACACAGTCCAAAGGGTACTGAAAACCAGAAATATAACCAAAAATAAAGAAATCACTCACCAATAGTTCTTTGGTATTGTTGCTTAGGCAAACAAAAAGGAACTGAAGATCTCAGTGGGAAACATACCGGTTACATATATCAGGAGGGGCTCCTACCAAAATGCTTATATAACAGCTTTAGAATGCTCTGAATGGTGCACTGCTAAGGCACAGTAAGAGTCGCAAGGACCACAAAAAAATAGTGTGTGCCTACAAAGCATGAACAATATTTAAGCAACGTCTAGGCATCGATTGTTCAATTAACATGGCTTGTTTTAGTGTTGCAACTGGATATACTACTTAATGCACCCATACGTCAGGGACCCAAGCCTGCACTGCACTGTGTAGGCAAAAATTTCCAAACATCTGGGTCAAATTAATCATCGGGGTGATGTAAAAGTACTTATTATATTATTTAAGCAATTATTTTGGAAAAATTGATTTCCATACATGACTCAAATTTGGTTTAAAAGGCTTTGGGGAAAGCTACAGAGATAAAATGTGTCTACACTGACTTTATGTTGTTAAATAGACAAAATATTAAAACAATGTCCCAAATCCAATGGGGATATCCTTTCAAAGAAGCAGCAGAATCAGGAATCACAAACAAAATCAGCGTAACCCACTCTCCCCACTACAGCCCCACTTCTACCTGAACAATCAGCTTCAGAAGATGGAAGCCCCTTCTACAGGCCATATAAAATTCAGGTTGTCTGCTTCAAATTGGATTATATGACAGTGTAGACCAGGGGTCATCAAACTAAGGCCCGGGGCCCGGATGCGGCCCTCCAAGGTCATTTACCCGGCCCTCACTCAGGGTCAACCTAAGTCTGAAACGACTTGAAAGCACACAACAACAACAACAATCCTATCTCATCAGACAAAAGTAGGCCCATACTTCTCATTGAAATACTAATAAGTTTATATTTGTTAAAATTGTTCTTCATTTTAATTATTGTATTGTTTTTAAGTGTCTTTTGCACTACAAATAAAATATGTGCAGTGTGCATAGGAATTTATTCATGTTTTTTTCAAATTATAACCCGGCCCTCCAACAGTTTGAGGGACTGTGACCTGGCCCTCTGTTTAAAAAGTTTGAGGAACCCTGGTGTAGACTCATATAATCCAGTTCAAATCAGATGCGGATTATCTGCTTTAATAGTCTAAATTATATGGCAGTGTAGAAGACACCTGAGAAACCCCCTGGAACTGGTTTTCAGAGAGTATAAAGAACTGGAGAGGTGGAGATGTTTCAGTTGCACTACAAACTAACATAACACAAGATTTAAGCCTAAAATAATGTATTAGGGACAAAACACCAATCTCAACATGTATTTATCCCAACTCCATTATTTGCTATTCAAAGTTGTTGCTTCTTACCTTCAAGCCCTCTGTTGGTAGTCTGTAACCAAACCGTGCTGGCAGATCATCAAATGTCTGTGTTGCATTTTCAAAATTAAACTACATGAGGAAAAATGCAAAATCATATATTATACGCTAAACATAAGACTGGTTCATACAAGCAAGATTAGGATGCCTAGATGTGAAATATAGAAAGTATAAGGCCAATCTTAGGCCTGAATAATCAAAAAACCAAATCCAAGGCTAAGTTTTTGATTCATCCTCTGATCAGTTCCAGTTTTTATATGATTCACTACCATATTTAAACTGTGAATATTATTTGCCACCCAACATAATATTTGCATTGGGATGGGCTAAATTATGTAGAAGTGTTAAAAAGAACCTTTACTCTTTACAAATGTTTACTGTTAAAATGGTTTCGCAAGACCAGTTGCTCTCATTGCTGCATGGTTTCGGGGCAATGGTGTAATGGTGAGGCTGTGGACCATATTTTCATTCTTGTGAACCACTAGTGGTCCACAGACCAGAGGTTGGGAACCACTGTTTTATAGTATAGAAAACCTGAGTTGTGAAATTTTAAAAGAGAAACAGTTTTAATCTTATATTTTACTGCTTTACTGGAAGAAAAGGCTTGAAATGCATAGAATATACATTTAGGCGAAGGAGAATCTAAAGCGGTGTTTTGTTGAGAGAAATCCAACTGCTGGTCCAAAATAGAGTAAACCCATTTGATCAATGGAAATATAGTAAGTGCTGATCCACCATTCAGCAACTAAGTCAATAAGACTTAAAATAGAATTTGCAAAATTCGCAAACAGATTTTAAGCCTTCATTTGAAAGCCAGGTTCCTGGACTAATTTTGTGTTAATACAGACTTAAGAGAGATAAAGAAAGCAGAATTTACTGGCATAAATAGCACTTTGGCAAAATGGTACCAAAAAAGGAAAAGGAAAACATAATTCTGAAAGAAGCGTATCATATATTATGCTAACAAAAATAATGGCATACAGCTTACTTTCTTTTTAAATAAAAAAAGAGGATTTTACAGATATTAGAAAAATTCAAAGTGAATACCTACTGATACTATATGGATACACTCTAAACAGAAATCATGTGAAAGAGCTATTAACCTCATGTCCCACTTATGGGATTTCCAAACACATCTGACTGAACATTGCTGGCAACAGAATGCTGGAAAGAGATCCTCAGGTACAGATAAAACTTTTATGATCATTACTGGGTTTGGGGTTGTGTGAGGATAAACTATAGCTATTTAGCATTAAAATAATTTCCTTCCCTACATGCACTGAAGAACAACTGCATCATATCTCCGCTTCAAGACTCTTACTAACCCCTTGTAGCAATGAAGCCTTGAACAGGATATTAATTTCTCAGTAGTTAATGGTTTGAATACCTCAATCTACAATTAGTAAAAATATGCTTGCACATCTCTAGGAACAAAGTATTTCATGGAAGATCAAGGCCTGACAGAAAGAAATACAGACAGAAGATTAATGGGCATGTTAATGTAGCAGTAGGGCTGTCACAATGAATATGGAACAGGGCTTCTGTAACTTTAATCTTTAACTGATCCTGGAGCACAATGAGGTACCATAAAGCTCCATCAAGTGGAACAAAAGACATGTCCTCTGCAATTTTTAAATCTCAACCTTCCGTCAGAACCACGAGCTTCCAACACAGATATTGCCTCCTCAGTGAAGAGCAGGGTACTCCTATGTATCCACTTCTCCACATTATCTGCCAATTAAATAGCTTGTTAGAAGATGCCTTTGGATCAAAGTTGAGGTTAGGAAAGTGAGGATGGACAGGAATCTCCATCCTGCATGTTAAAATTTTACAGTATCTCATTCTGCTCCATAATCTGTTAAGAATTAAAATTACAATAGCCTTGTCCCATATCTGTGCTGCCAACTCTATATCAACAGGAAGTCAGGCCCTATAAATTCCTGCCTTACCATTGAAGAAATGTGTCCAACGATTAGTGATACTGCAGGATTGATGGAATACAGTGAGCCCTTGGTATCCACTGAGGTTTGGTTCCAGGACCCCCTGTGGATACTAAAACCTGTAGGTGCTCAAGACCCATGATATACAATGGCATAAGATAATGACATCCCTTATAGAAAATGACAAAATCATAGTTTGTTTTTGGGATTTTTTTAAAAAAAAACTTTTTTCAAGTCATGGATGGTTGAATTCATGGATGAGGAGAGCAGACTGTATATCATATTCAAACTACAGGTAGGATGAATTCTGTAGTGTTAGCAAAAAAATTAAATTAGGTAGACAATAAAATCTTTTTGTGATGAGACGTTTATACTACTTTGTATTAAATAGTTATTTTTAATATTATGTGAGAGGGAGGTTTATTTTCAAATAGATTTCACTTAATATTGAAAGGATCTCAACAGGAGGTTTGATTCTTTAAAATGTCAATTGCCTCCCACCACAAAAGTGAAAAAGTGAGAAAGAAACAGCGTACAGGTTGAGTATCCATTATCCAAAACATTTGAGACCAGAAGTGTTTTGGATTGAGATTTTTCCCCTGCATTTTGGAATTTGCATATGTGTCCATAATGAGATATCTTGGAGATGGAAGCCAAGTCTAAACATGAAATTAATTTGATAAACACACTGTATACATAGCTTGAAAGTAATGTTATACAATTTTTAAAAAAATTAAAGGATGAAACATACTTTGTCTACACCGAACCATCAATAACAAAATGTGTTAATATCTTAGCTATCCATGAGAAATGTTATGAATTTTGGAGTATTTCAGATTTTGTAATTCAGGATAAAGGATGCTCAACCTCTATTTGTAGGGAAAGAAAATACTTGTGCCCAAATGTCAGAAATAATTTTAAAAGCACACAGATATGGTTTTATGACTTCTACAGGTCTACAAAAACTGATAATGACTACACACTTCTCAATGTGGTATACTGCCTAAAAGCCAGCTGTTTTGTTGTTTTTTGTTGTTGAAATGCTAAGTACTGAGTAGCTTTGAAACGTATTTGCTTAAAAAATGCAATTTCTTTAAGACATATTATACACACAAATGCAAGATTTTTATAATACTTACTGCTAAAATGTCCGCCTCCACAGGCAATAGGTTTAAGAAAACAAATAGCTGAACTGTGAAGATGGTATAAATCTGAGTGGCAGACAGCATTAACATTCCTATTGACAGCAGCATTTTAATTCAATTCCTGCAAGACAAAAATAAAAGGAAATTAGGAAATTTGTACCCTGATCCAATAGATAGTGTAGCCGTTATACCAACTGAACACCTTATAGCATCAGTAAGTAAAAAATGATTTTAGGAAATGCAATTTTAATCTTAAGAAATTAAATGTTTTTGTATGATTTACTTTCTACCTACAGCCTAGATATGCCGATCTTAATTTCCAAGGCATCCAAAGCAAAGTCCAATCTTGGAAGCTAAGCAAGGCCAGTCCTATTTAGTACTTGGATGCATATGAATACCAGGTGCTGTGAGCTATATGTCAGAGGAAGAAATTAGCAAAACAACCTCTAAGCATTCCTTGCCTTAAAAAACCCTATGAAATTAATGAGGTCACAATACATTGAAGGTGACTTGGGAGACACATGCACAGGTCAAACCCTGCAACATTTTCACCATATTATTATTATTAGCAGTAGCTTATATAACCAAAGCATGCAGCACTATGGCAAGATCCGACTTCTCCAGGAATGGACACAGTTGTCATACTAGCTTTAACTGTACAGAAGGACTGATGGCCATTGCTGATACCTGGACCTCTGGGCTCAGAGATGAATCCAGGAATATCCCAAACTGCTAACCTGTGGTTTCAAGGGGAGTGTAAACCCATCTAACACAGGCTGAATCCGTATAGTCAGAACTATCTTTTGAATTACCAAGAGCATTGCTGTCTTGTCTAGATTTAGTTTCAAGCTGTAATGGACTGCCCATATGGAGTCCATCGCAGCTGACAAGCACCAGTTTAGCATAAGAACAGATACCTTTAAATTAGGTGGAAAATAGTAATAGAGCTGGGTATCATCAGCATACTGGTGGCAGCCAACCCCAAGACTCGAGACAACCTCTCTCAGTGGTTTAAATGTAGGTGTTAAATAACATAGGGGGTAAGAATGAACCCTGTAAGACTGAATCTCTCACAGTAGTTTAAATGCAGTGTTAAATAACATAGGGGACAAGATTCAACCCTGAAATACTCCATAGACCAACAGCCAAAGAGTTCAGCAGGAATCCCCCAGTACCACGCTCGGAGAGTGTCCCTTTAGGAAACAACAGAGCCAATAAAACAATACCTCTAAGCCCCATTCCATAGAAAGAACTAAGGACAATAGCATAATCAATGGCATCAAAAGTCACTGAGAGATCAGACAGAACCAGCAAAGACACATTCTCCCTGTCCATTTTTCTGTAAAGGTCATCCCACAAGGCATCCAAAGCTGCCTCTATCCTACAACTAGGTTTGAATCCAGACTAAAATTGATCTAGATCAGTGGTTCTCTACCTGTGGATCCCCAGGTGTTTTGGCCTACAATTCCCAGAAATCCCAGCCAGTTTACCAACTGTTAGGATTTTGGGGAGTTGAAGGCCAAAACATCGGGGTACCTACAGGTTGAGAACCAGTGATCTAGATAATACACCTCATGCAGGAAGGTCTGGAGTTGAGAATACACCATATGCTCTACTATCTTACCTAAAAATGGAAGGTTGGGCACTGGCCTACAGTTATTCAGTATAGTAGGATCCAAGGAAGGTTTTTTTTAGGTCTTACCACAGTCTCCTTCAGGCAATTTGAACTTTGCCTTGTTGTAAAAGAGAGTTTAATCATTTTCTATGCCCACTCAGCAAGACCTCTTCTGGCCTGTTTAACGAACCATGAAGGGCAAGGATCTATACATATGTGGTGACTCTTACCGCTCCAAGGATCTTGTCCATATTCTCAGACTGCACAAATTGAAAGTATTCATCAACACTGGACAGGATATTTAGAGATAAATAAATCAGAGATCTTTATGAGTGGTAGCATACATTCAGGGAAAAGGAAAGCATATACAATCATTACCTAGTATTATAAATGGGGTTATCACTGCTGCAGCTTAAGGCATCTTAAAATTTGTCATTGCTATGTTGTCTCAGTGGAACTTGAGGGTGACTAGGAAATACTGGGTTCTCAGTTCCACAACTGCATTTTTATATTGCTGACCCTAAAGACTACAGACCAATAAGTGTTCTGGATGTAATGTCAAAAGCATATGGATAGTTTTGACTGAATAAGTTCCAAACCTGAAGGAAACGAGATAACATAAAAGCAGGCTGGATGCTGGCATGCTAAGAACACAATTGAACAGTATTTTGTATCTATCCATCTGATTCATAAAAGTCTGATAAAACCAAAGGATGTCAATTATGTGGTTTTTACTTTAAGAAGTAACATAGTAGATAGGTAAACCGTGACACACAAAGATAAACACCAGTTGCTTTTGTTATTGCAGCCATTCTCACAATGACTTCAGTGTGTGGGCAGGTCTAACAGGTTCTGTCTCTGCAAAAGTTAACACCAGAAGAGGTGTTAGACAGAAATACCTATTCCTTGTCTGTTTAATGCCTATGTAAATAGTCTAGTCATTGTATCGTCGAAGGCTTTCATGGCTGGAATCACTAGGTTCTTGTGGGTTTTTTCGGGCTATAGAGCCATGTTCTAGAGGCATTTCTCCTGACGTTTCGCCTGCATCTATGGCAAGCATCCTCAGAGGTTGAGAAGGTCTGTCATTGATTTGAGTTTAGTCTAGTCATTGATTTGAGTTTTGCAGATCGTTTTCCACTGTGTGATAGAAACAGAAAGAGTCAAATGCTGTTATAATTTGATTACACAGCTTTCTTATCTACAGTTCAGACAGGATTGAAGGGACTTCTAAGAGAAATTAGTTATTAATTATTCCAAAACAAATGCCATTATCCTAAGAGGAAGGATCTTTATAAATGACACTTAGATTATCATTTGATATAGTAATGCCACAGTTTCAAATACCGGGGTATAATTTTCTTATAATGGAAATTAGAAACTTTATTTAGAGGCAGCAAAGCCTCTAGCCTGGAAGATAGCAAAAGCAGTACTAGCCTCTAAAAAGGACAACACAGCTTAACTGATTGGCCCCTAACTTTAAAATCTTTATAGCCAATGCTTTGCCACAACATGTTATACAGGGCAGAGCTATGGGGACAGGGTCATTGCTGCAACAGTTAAGGCTATACAGAAGAAGTTTTTGAAAGAAATGCTGACACTTTTCCCCCATTGCTTGGTTGATCTTCCTTCTATTACAGCAAGAATCTATAAAATATCTATTATTTATGGGGAAAGACCGATCAGATTGGAGGGTTGCAATTTAGTAAAATTTCATTTCACTAAGCGACATGCTCAGAATAAATAGGCTCATTATTGGTCTTCATTGAACCAATCTTATTTTGAGGATGTCAAGACTTCTATAAACCATAAGGACAAACGTTTCATCAGAATAGAATCTCTGAGTTTGACTCTTATGAAAATGTACTTGCTAGCCAACAGCAAGCATTATCCCTTAGTACAACCTTCCGAAGAGAGAACAATATTTTAACAGTATTTCCCAGTATGTGGCTCTCAGAAAAGCCTTTAATTATCTCAGTTTCAAACGATGCAATTCGCTTATGAAGAAGGGAGTTATAAAGGGATCCCCTATACACAGTGGTTATGTCTTTGTGGATCTGAGGAAGATGACCTAATTCAGTATTTATTACACTGTCCATTCCACGATACATTGAGAGCAAGAGCAGATTGAATGTTGCCTAATATCGTTTGTGACCTGTTGGCAAATAATTCTAAATCCATTATTCTCTAGGTTGCCACCTTCACTGTAGCAGCCCAAAAGATCTGCAAATTCCTAGAAATTGCAAAGGGAAGGAGTTGTTGTAGCTGCCGTTATTATTGTTGATTTGCTGTTTCATCCATTAGTTTTGCTGCCTCCTTTCTCACTTTCTTTGTAATTATTTTACCTAATGTGATCTAGCATGGCAGTAATAAGTGATATGTTGCACCAAATATACTGCATTATCAGAAAGTTCTGTAATGAACATTTTTCCATAGACGAATCAAATTATTGACTTTTAATGGAGTTACAAGGATTTCAGTCCTTCATATGTGGACACAAAAGTGAGACTGTTTCAGTCCAATCTTTCATTTGGGGCTGGTGTGGAATAAGGATTCCAATTATAAAGCCAATGTATGACAGGCAAATGATGATAATTATTACTTGATGGAACTTCCTTTATAAATAGAAATCATGTATTGCAATAAGTCAGGCACAAAAATATGTATTGATGAAATGCTCAGACAGAAAAAAAACATACACAGGTCTACAATATTGTATCATTTCATCTGCCACTTGATACCATATTGCTATATTGCATGTAAGGAACAGTATAGTGACGCCTGCAAGCTGTGCAGTACCACCCCATCCTTAATTAATGGAAATTCCACAGTGAATTACAGCACCAATATCCAAGCCAGATGTGATAAGAAAATGCAGAGCAACAGACTGTCCCATCCCCAACCCACTCCAATGTTTGCTGTTAGGCTGGCGACTTTTAGAGAGACTGCCACAAAAAAGCTAGTCACCAAAGAACATGGTGAAAGAAATATTTGATTCTCAAATCAAGATGCAAGTGTCACTTATTCAGATATGAAGTGTGTGTTGTTGTTGTTGTTGTTGTTTATTCGTTCAGTCGCTTCCGACTCTTTGTGACCCATGACAGAACTCCCTGTCAGCCATGACCACCCCCAGCTCCTTCCAGGTCAAGCCAGCCACTTCAAAGATAACATCCATCGATCTTGCCCTTGGTCAGCCCCTCTTCCTTTATCCTTCCATTTTCTCCAGCATCATTATCTTCTCCAAGCTTTCTTGTATTATCGTGTGTGTGTGTATGGTAGAATTAAAAGACATAATCATGTTTGTCTGGATCAGTAAGAAAAAAGATCTTGTTGCAGGCATAAATCTATGAATGCTTGTGCTGCTAACTTATTTCTGTCTCAAAGGTGCTACAAGTTCCCTTTGCATACTATATATTTGCTAGTTAGGTTTTTTAGCCAAGCTTTTCTAAGCTTTTACATTTAGGCAAACAAGTTGTTCTCTACAAACACAGCATGCTGGCTTACAAACT